AAAGAAAAACTGTACAAAGAACCTCTGTGCATGCGTCAAAATACACAAATCAATGTAGAGTGTCAAAATAAACATAAGTATCTAAAGCGTATAAAAGTAAAATGTAAGTCTGAGACATGGAACCAAAAATTCCGTCATGGGAATCACGATAGAAAGGCATTTTGCTTAATAAAAAGTGACATTTCAATATCTTAAGAAGTCTTTGATGAGAGCTACAGCGGAAGCCTTCTCTGCCACCGTTCAGTAAGGGATGAGATGGGGCCTTCCGGACTACAGGACTGTAGAGCGGACGTGGGCTATCCCACAGCGCCCTGCACCTGCCACGGGAGGCCTGAGCTGCAGCAGGTGAGCAGAAGCCCTCCTTGGTCTGGGACGGCCGCCCTGAGAGGACCCCGCGGCCTTGTCTGCCAGGGGAGCTGCAGGGCTGTGCGCAAGTGTCGGGGTGTGATGAGCCCGGGCTCTCAGCAGATGGGCTCTGCACCCCACCCTGACGGTGCACGAGAGCAACGGGGCCTCCTGACCGGATCTTCTCCTAGCTCCTCACTGTCCTACTCTGTCCTACTCTGTCCTATAGGCAGGAGCAAGGGGCGGGAGGGGCAGTGGGGACAGGGGTGTGGGGGGACAGTGGGACATGGACGCTGCCTTCACCTGTGGGTGACCTGTGCGGGGTCATGTCTGGGAGGGGTGCCAGCAGATTCTTTATTTTTTATTTTTTTAAAGATTTATTTATTTATTTATTCATGAGACACCCAGAAGGGAGAGAAGCAGGCTCCATGCAGGGAGCCCGACATGGGACTCGATCCCGGGACTCCAGGGTCACGCCCTGAGCCATAGGCAGGCACTCAACTGCTGAGCTGCCCAAGGCATCCCTTTTTTCTTCTTTAAAGATTTTATTTATTTATTCATGACAGACACACACACACACACACACACACAGAGAGAGAGAGAGAGAGAGAGAGAGAGAGGCAGAGACACAGGCAGAGGGAGAAGGTCCCAGATACACTGTCCTTATGGAAGGAGGCTCCGAGAGGGCCTCGTGGACACCACCGCACAGCCCCCCGCCTCCGCCCTCACCCCTCGGGTGTACCAGTCCTGGGGCTCATGCCATTCTGCTCCAGCCCAGCGCCCCGCTGCTCCCAAGCTGGGCCCAGGAGGGCGGGTGCCGCCCCCCCCCCAGCAGAGTGGTCTCAGCTGGCGTGAATAATTAAACGTGGACTCAATGCAGCTCAGGCTTCCGGCCCGGCCTCCTGCTGCCTGCAGATAATTACCTTCAGCCCTGAGGCTGAGTCCAGAGGACTGGTGTCTAGGACGCCAACAAGCCTGGGTTGTGGGGGGAGTGGGGGGCTCCAGGCCTCTGTGGCGAGCGAGGCCAGTGTGGAGGCTCTGCCGGGGTCATCGTCTCCAGTCCCCGAGCATGGCCGCTGTCCCAGTGCTCAGGCCACAGGCAAGCCCAGAGGGTTCCCTAGCTGGGGGCCCGTGGGCCCAGGGCCTGCAGACAAGCGTGGCGCCTGTCCCCTCCCGGGCCAGACAGGCCCATGCAGACCGGGCAGCCACACGGTGGATGCAAACAAGGAGGTTCCCCTGGCCCCACCTCCGGGGGACCCACTGCCTGGGTACAGGTGACCTTTGGCTTCTGGACACCAGCAGGGATGTGCCAGGCCCAGACAGACCGCTGGGCAGGGAAGAGCCGGTGGGGTCCGTCTGCTAGGTGTGTGTCAGGCACCCCTGTGTCACAAGCTATGCAAAAATCCAAAGGCAAGGGGAGCGATGGTCACAGTTCCAGGACCCCTGACGCCCCCACCCTCCTGAGGAAGACAAGGCAGCTGGGCTGACCGAGGTCCAGCTCATGAGGGCTCGACCACACTCCACTCCCGGAGCGTGGGCTATGAGGCCCAGGAGGAGGCCGGTCCCAGTCCCCACCTCACCTGCAGGCTGCAGAGCCTGATGGCTTCAAAGGGCCACGGGGCCCTGGCTGGGGACAGGCAACCCTGTTTCATCTCTGACAGACATCCCGGAGCGGAGGCCGTCTCCTCGCTCCACCTAAAGCTCGGGGCCGGCCTGACCCCGAAGCTCCCGGGAGCTGCTGGGTGCTCCCTGGACTCTGGCACATTCTGCAGGGCAGAGTCTCTTCCCTAAAGAATACAGCACGTTTTGTCACCTTTTTTTTTTTTTTTTTTAAGATTTTACTTATTTACTCATGAGAGACACAGAGAGAGGCAGAGACAGAGGCAGAGGGAGAAGCAGGCTCCCTGCAGGGAGCCCGACGTGGGACTCGATTCCAAGATCCTGGTGTCACGCGCTGAGCCCAAGGCAGATGCTCAACCACTGAGCCACCAGGCGCCCCGTGTTTTGTCATCTTTAAAGGGCTTCCTGGTTTAAAAAACGTCAAGCCGAGCCACAGGTAAGTGGTGGAAACCAGGCCTCTGCCCGCCCCCCCCCCGCCCCACGTGCCGAGGCCACCACTGGACCAGACAGTGTAGAGTCAGAGGGGCTGCGGGGTCACTTCAAGGATCAAAGAGAAGGCTCCGCGCGGCCCAGGATGCTGCTGTGCCCAAGGCTGCTCACTCAGGGGCGCCCTTGCAGGGACACACGCTCAGGCTGTCTCTAGCTTTGCTGGCAGGAGCAAGGTGGCGATGCGAGGTGGGTGCACGTGTGTGCGTGGGCGTTCCGGCGGGACGGACCCCAGCAGGGCCGCAGGGCTGGCCAGACACCTGCTGTCCTGGGGCTGACGGGCCCTGGCTCCCCACCCAACGCACCTGGCTCCCCACCCCAACCGCACCCTCCCACTCGGGGATGTAACTGGGCGCGCCCGTCTCTCCATCCCCTCCCCTCCTGACCGGCTTCAAGACTTCCTCAGTGTCCCTGCAGGGGGAGAGTACTGCCTCCGGGGAGCGGGGAGCGCGCACTTGCATTTCTCGGATTATGAGTGAAGTTCAGCACTTTTCAGCAAATACTATCCCTGGTTCCCTCTGCACGTGTCCAGGCTGCTGGACGGACTCCCTCCCCTCACTTGTTTACGGAGTTCTGGGTTAGGGGAGCCCTGGGTTAGGGGAGCCGGCCCATTGCTGAGCGCATGCCTTACCGAGTCCCCCCCCCCTTTGTTAGGTATCCCTGGGCCTAAAAGGTTGTATCTATGCAAAATGTTGCAATTTGTAATTTAATTCCATTTACAAACTTTCCCGTTTAATGTCTTCTGCATTTGTATCATGCTGAGAAAAGCCTTCCTCATCCTGAGACTATCAAAGTCTCCTGTGTTTTCTTGGAATGCTTTCGTGGGGTTTTTTTCTTCTTCTTCTGTTTCTGGACCACAAGGATTTTATTATGGACATAGGAGTCCAATGCCTTTTTTTGCAGATGGCTGCCAGTTGTCCCAATACGCTTAATTAAATAATGACCTTTTCCTCATGGATTGTAAATGCCAAATAATCAAATGCTAAATGATGACACAAACCTCTGATCTGTGTGGCCGGTGAACTGCCCCTAACGAAATGTTCCAGTTGGTTCTAAGAGAGAGTCTGCCCTCCAGCACAGCGAGAGCCTTCTGTTTACAGAATTTTATAGGATTTTCTGCGGCTTTCTTTTTTCTTTTTTTGTTGTGGTAAATATATATGACATAAAATTTACCATCTGACCCAGTTTTACGGGTACGGTTCAGTGGCATTCAGTACATCCACGTCACTGCGCAACCACCACCACCCTTTTCCTGAACCTTTTTCATCTCCCCAAATTGAAACTCTGTCCACTGAACACTCCCCGCCCCATCCCTCCACGCCCAGTAGGGATGGGTCCCTTTTTGCTCCTCCATCTGTCCATCAAGGGGCATTGGGCGCTGCCACCTCTTGGCTGCCGTGAGTAATGCTACTGAGCATAGAGACAGACGTCTGTCCCTGTCCCGGCTTTCAGCTCTTGGGTGAACACTCAGATGTGGAATGGCTGGATCATATAATAATTCTATTTTTAAGTTTTCAAAGAACTGCCATACTGTTCCCCGGAGCAGTTGTACCATTTTATATTCCCACCGACAGTGCACAGGGCTCCAATTTCTTCACATCCTTGCCAGTACTTATTTTATCTGTCTGTTTATCTATCTACCTACACTTCTTTTCTTTTTTTTTCTCTACCTACATTTCTTGATAGTAACGATCCTAATGGGTGTGGGAGGTTTTGCGCCGCCCTAGAAGGGATGGTGTTGAGCCCCTTTCCATGTGCTGTGGCTGTCTGCGCATCTTCTTTGGGAACACGTCCGGTTCAGCACTTTTAGTCTATTTATTCTTTTTATTTTTTTAAATATATATATATTTTTAGATTTTATTTATTTATTCATGAGAGACACACAGGGAAAGAGAGAGAGAGGCAGAGACACAGGCAGAGGGAGAAGCAGGCTCCCTGTGGGGAGCCGGATGTGGAACTCGATCCTGGGACCCCGGGGTCATGGCCCTGGCTAAGGCAGGGGCTCAACCGCTGAGCCCCCTGGGTGGCCCTATTTTTTTGAAAGATTTATTCATTTGAGGGAGAGAGAGCAGGGGGAGGGGTGGAGGGAGAGGGAGAAGCAGACTCCTCGCTGAGCATAGAGCCTGAGGACAATGACGCAGGGCCCGATCCCACCACCCTGAGATCAGGACCGGACCCAAAACCAAGAGTCGGACGCTCAACCGACGGAGCCACCCGGGTGCCCCTCAGCCTGTTTATTCTTTTTTTTTTTTCAGCCTGTTTATTCTTGTACCTTTACTCTCCACGTGAACTTTAGAACTTGTTTATGCAGGGATCCCTGGGTGGCGCAGCGGTTTGGCGCCTGCCTTTGGCCCAGGGCGCGATCCTGGAGACCCGGGATCGAATCCCACGTCGGGCTCCCGGTGCATGGAGCCTGCTTCTCCCTCTGCCTGTGTCTCTGCCTCTCTCTCTCTCTATCTGTGTGATTGTCATAAGTAAATAAAAATAAATAAATAAAAAAATATTTAAAGAACTTGTTTATGCAGTTGTAAAAAAAATATCTTGTAGCTACTTCTACTGGATTGTATTCAGTGTACAGATCAGTTTGGGGGGGCTGTGGCCCCACTTGCCCTGTTTTCCTTTCCGTCGCTCCTCTGTGGGTTCCTGGCTGGTGCGCCTCATTCTTTCCAGCCCCTCCCTGTGGCTCTAGGTCTTCCCCCATTCCTGATGGCGCCTAGAGCTGCTCCCCAGTTCTGTCCTGGCCTCCCAGATGTTACTGGACGGCTCACCTGCTTGTCCTCCAGGTCCTCACCCCGTGTCAAACTCTCAGCGGCTGACCCCTGCACACCTGATCACCTGTTTCCCAGGGACAGCAGGCTGTCCAGGTCACTGCTGGGAACCGTACTTGCCTCCCCTCTCCCGCTGCTTGGAAGAAGTCAGGATCCTGGCAGGAAAAAGACACAAAGAGAGAAAAGGACTTTTATTTAGGGCCATTTACCAAGGTGGGTGAAGCTCTGGGTGAGGCCTGGCCCCAGAGCCCTGAGAGGGTAGGAAAGGGCCACTGGGCAAGGGCTGGGGCTCAGGGAGAGGGTTGGTCTGTGTCCAGCAGGTAGTTGGGGAAATTCCCCAACCTCTGGGCTGCAGGCCAAACTCACCCGGAAGCCAGGGGGTGGGGGATGGGGCCACTAGTGTAGTCCGCAGCTCAGGGCAGGGTGTAGGGGGGGCAAGCCCGGAATGCCCAGTCCAACCTCTTCCCTCTCCTCAGTCTCCACCTTGTCCAGCCCAGGGCCTCTGGCTGGATACCTGACCCTCCCCGCCCCCACCCACTCTCCCGGGCACCCAGAGCTCTCTAATACCCTCGTCAGGGCAGGTCTTGGCTGGCATCAAACCCTCCTGCGGCGCCACGTTGTCCTTGGGATGAAGTCCAAACGTCTTGATCACCCCTGCAGGTCCCTCCCCGGGCCTGCTCCGCCCACCCCCTCAAGCCCGGTTCCCACGGGGGGCCCCGGCTGCCCGAGCTGGCACAGGGGGGCCTCCAGCTGCCAGGCTCGGCGGCTCCCAGGCCTTCCCTCCACTGCGCACCCCGGCCCTTGGCCAGGCCTTCCCCATACCTGGGAGGCATCGCTCCGCCAGGCGTCCCCCACGCTGCCCCCGCCCCAGCGTTAGTCCCTTCCCCCTCCCACTCCCGGGTTCCCCTGGGCCCTAGCCCCGGGAGGGGTGAGCACCGCGAGTCCCGACCCACCCCGCCCCTCGACCCCCACCCCGAGCCTGGAACGCCGGGGGTCGGCAGGATCCGGGCGGGCCTCTGGGACTCCCCCCCCTTACCCCAAGCTCCCCCCTCACTCGGGCGGGCGGGGCTCAAGGTTAGCGGCTGGGGAAGGCTCCCCGAGTCCGGTCAAGCGATAACCCGCCGGCCCAGGGCCAGGACGCGGGGCAGCTCCCGGCCCTAGGTTCCTCCCCGCAAGCGGGGGCGGGTCCCCCAGCCGAGGCCCTGGCGGGGCGGAGACGGGGAGGGGACGGGAGGGGGAGGGGACGGGGGAGGGGGCCACGGGCGGGGTGGGAGCTAGTATGGGGGGCGGACCCCGACCGGGACAGCCAGGGAGGTGTGGGGGGGGCGGGGGCGGCCAGGCGGGGAGGGGGGCTCCCGCGGGGTGGGAGCTCGTCGGGGGGGGGGCGGGCCGGGGACCCCGACCCCGACAGCGGGGGGGCCTGGGGGCGGGGCGGGGCGGGGTGTCCCGCGGGGAGGGAGCTAGTATGGGGGGGCCGGGGACCCGGACCCCGACAGCGAGGGCGCCTGGGGGCGGGGGCTCCGGCGGGGAGGGACCCCGACTCGGGCGGCGGGGGCAGGGCGGCGTGCACCTGGCGGCGGGGCGCGCCCTAACCTGGCTTCCGGGGGCGGGGCGGGGCGGGCGCGGGCGGGGCGCGGGGCGGGGCGGGCGCCCGCAGACGTCAGGGACCCGCGCGCCAGGCCGGGGCCGCCGCTCGCCGTGGGCTCGGCCGGGGCTGCCGCGAGCGTGCTGGCCGCGCCGGGCATGTCCTAGGCGGCGGCCCCGCCCAGCGCTCGGCCGGCGGGCGGGCGGGAGGGCCGGGGCCGGGGCCGGGCCGAGCGGGGCCGCGCCGGGCCGAGCCGCAGGTAAGAGCGCGCCCCGCGCCCCGCGCCCCGCGCCCGCCGGGGCCTCCTGCGCCCGCACCTGCGCCTGCGGGGCCGCGCGGGGGGCGGGCGGGGCGCGGGCCCTCGGGGCCGGACAAAGGCGCGGGCCGCGGCGCACCTGGCCGGGAGGGTCCCCGCCGCCGGGAGGGGCCGGGGCGCGGGTTCGCGGCCCGCGGGGGGGCGCGGGCCGGGCGCCGGCGGATCCAGAGCGCGCCCCCGCCCCGCGGTCCCCCCCGCGGCCTCCCGTCGCCGTGTCGCCGCCGCCCCTGCCTCCTGGCTCGGCCCGGCCCGGCCTCCGTTGCGGTGCCCCCGCCGCCCGGCCCCTGCCCCATCCGCCCCCCCCCCTCGGGCCGGGGCGCGCGGGGGCAGCTTGGGGTGTTGCTGCTTCCCCCTCGCTGCGCCGGCCGCAGGCGGTGTGGGAACAGCCCAGCTCGCGGCCGAGCCGGTCGGGAAGGGCTGCTGGTGGCGGCGGGCCCGGCCCTGGCAGCGCCGCAGAGCCAGCTCGGGCCTTGGCCTCCCCAGGCTGAAAGGCGGCGCCCTCCGCCGGGTGGGGTCGCGGCCCGTGGGGGGTGGCAGGTGATGGAGGAGGGGCGTGGGGGCTGGGAAGTGCGGTGATGGGGCAGGAGCCGGGCCCAGGCTTCCCCTCCCCCCACCGCCGGGAGGAGGGGCCTTGGAGGAGGTTGGGGCTGCGGAGGCCTCCGGAGCCCTGCGGGGGGGGGGGCGGGGGGCAGGTCCCCACCCCCTCGGCCTCCGGGGCCCAGCGCTCCGGGTGGACTCTGAGGCCGCGCCTGGGGCTCTGGGGAGGGGGTTCCGGCCGCGCTGTCCTGGGGCGCTGGGGCGGGGCTTTCCTGGTGCTCCCACCTGCTTGCCCCAGGTGCCCGTGGGTGTGCTGAGGGATACGCGGGCGATACGCGGGCACTTGGACCTTCATGGACCGTGGGTCCTGGCGGTGGCGTTGCTCACCGCCCGCCCGGGAGGGGGCTGAGGCTGGGCCTGTGGGCGTGGGTACCGCGGGGACTGGGGATCCCCCCACTGCTCCCGCTGTCACTTCTCTCCCTCACCGTCTGACCTCCCTCTGTGCTCTGTCCTCGGAGTCCCATTGTGACCCCAGGACCTCCCCGGCTGGCCACCGCACCCACCCACGCCCTTGCACCATGTGCTCTGCCCAGTGCTCCGTGCCCGGCGTCTTTGAAGTTGTTCATGACTTATAGGCGAGGCGGCCACGTTTTCATTTTGTGCTGAGCCTCTCAGAGATGAGGCAGGTCCTGGAACTACCCTTTGGCTCCAGCACACGCCCAGGACTCCCCGAGCCTTGTGACCCCCGCGTCTGCACCGGTTACTTCCTCTGCTTGCAGCGCAGTCCCCAGATGTTGACAAGCCCGTTTCCATCCATCCGCTTCCTCTCCTGCTCCTGCTCCTGGTGGGCATTGCTCAGATGATGCCTTCCCAGGAGCCTTCCCAGACATCCCCCCCCCGCCCATCCCCCCACACCCACTGCTTCATTTTTCCTCTGGGACACTCACACCTTCTCAGAGCCTCTCACCTTTGCTGTCTGCCTCCCCGGCTGGCGGGAAGGCGGGTGATGCAGGTCACAGGGGGCTCAGAGCCCAGGGCACCCCTTGGCACACAGGCAGTGCTCGGGGTGGGATCTATCCTGTGTGTGTGTGTTTGTGCAGAGAAGAGTGGCCAGGACACTTGTGGGCGGTGCTCTGGGTACGCATGGAGGCCCTGTGCACACGTGTGTCCTGTGAGCGTGTGCATGTTTGGTGCCCGTGCACCTGTGCTGCTGGAGCCACACAGCTCTGCCCTGGGTGAGCGGGGCGCCTATGTGAGAGCATGGGCAGGCTGGCTGCCCCAGAGCCTGGTGTCAAGGTGGCATGGGCCCTTGCTGTCACTCAGATTGCCCGCACTGTGCCTCACCAGCTGCCATGGCACTTGCCTGCCCATCTTGACCTTACCAGCCCCTCCTACCTCTCCTTCACTGATGCTGGCAGGGCCTTGTAGGCCCCGGAGCCTGATGCCTCCGTTACCTGGTGCTGTCCGGGCCTGGGGACCTCTGCGGGATGGCCACGGTGGCCACGCGGGGGGTGTTGGGTCTCCTGTAAGCGATCGCTGTATTGATGGCTCAGAGTTCCTGTTTTCAGCTGTTCCCCCACCCCCTGGCCCTCCTGCCAGGCCCACCCCAGAGCGTCTGGTGGGGGAAATAGGTCCTCTGATTCAGAGTTTGTGTCCAGGGCAGGGTCAGGCCCTGTACACCTGGCATTGTGGGGACCCTGATGGGCCATGGCGAGTCCCACTCGAGAGCTGTTCTTGGTTGGGTCATGAGACGTGTGCGGTTCCACACGTGGACAGTGTGGCCCGTGCCTGATGGACTCAACGCCGGGTACCTGGGTTGGGGAGACAGAGCACAAGGGAGGGCCAGGAGAACTTAGCTGGGGAAGGCGTCCACAGGGGCAGGCGCACTCCAGGGAGGGCGGTGGCCTCGTGCGGCTGGGCCCAGCGTCTCCAGTGGCGGCCGCTGTGCTGCCACGGGGGTGCTTGGACGTCAGGGGGCGGATCTGCGCCGGGGCCTTTCGCGTCCAGGGGCTGGGACCCAGGAAGGGAAGCCGGCTCTGACGCCTCCTTCCCCTCAGGGCCAGACGGGCCTTGCCAGTGCCAAGATGAGTGTCACCTCCTGGTTCCTGGTGAGCAGCAGCGGCACCCGCCACCGGCTCCCGCGAGAGCTCATCTTCGTGGGGCGTGATGAGTGTGAGCTCATGCTGCAGGTGAGTGTGAGCATCTCTGGGGCAGAGAAGGCAGGGGCGGGCCCAGGGCAGGACAGCGCCCGTCCTCCCTGCTGCAGGAGCCTGCTGAGAGCCCTGGAGGCAGCCTAGTGCTGCGCGCCTCCGCCTGGGCCTCCGCCTCGCCTGGGACCCACGGGGGGCGAGTGCAGGCCTGCGTGTGCGCTCACAGGCCAGTCCCGCCTCCGCGTGTCGGGGCTTTCCTGACAGGAGGTCGTTCAGGCTTCTGTCAGGTTCTCAGGGCATCGGGAATCCACCTTTGGAAGGTGCTGGAAAGTGGACCTATCTGTGGTTTTGTTGTCTGGGGCCCCCCTGGGCCATGGCAGACTGGGGAACCGTGAGGCCCACTCTGGCCGTCAGAGCTGTCCGAGGGGAGGCTGGCGCCCCTTGAGGCACCCAGGTAGAAAAGGGTGGTGGCGCCAGCACCCCGTGCACTTGGCAAGCAGGACCTTCAAGCCCTGGTCTCAGAGTCTGGGTCTGGCTGTTTGGGAACGAGGACGGAGGGGAAGTGGACTGACCCTACAGGGTTCCCCTTAGTTCAGCCGTCCTTTGCGCTGCTCCCCAAGGGGGTGATCCAGCCGGGCCTCCTGCAGCCCTGGCCCCTGCCCCCACACTCACGCCCCCCATTATGGGACCCCCAGAAGGAGACATGTGTCCTGGGTGCAGGGTGAGGCCTTGCTCAGGCCCTGGTTCCCTGTGCCAGCCGGGCTGCTACTGCCCACTCCTGGGACGTGAGGGGCTCGGGCTGCAGACGGGGGGCTCGGGCCCCCCACATGCAGATGGCAGATGTCGTCTGTCTCCCTCTCCTGAGGACGAGCCTGTCCCTGTCTGGACCCCCTGGCTTCTCCGCAAGGGTCCTCAGACTTGGTTGACTAGACCGGACAAGCTCCCGCATCTGTCTGCTTGCTGGGCCGCCTGGTGTCTGCGGCTTGGCACAGCCTGTCCCCTTATTTCTCTTCCCGTTGTTGGACGCTGGAGAGGCCGCGTCAGGGACTGTCCGGGGACGGGCAGGTGTCTCTGTGAAGCCCGGGGTGTATCTCTGAGGCCTGTCGGGCACCTGCCTCCTCGGCCACCACTCAGGTTTGCCGGTGCTGGGAAGCAGTGGCCTGAGGACAGGGGAGCGGCAGGCGGGTGGCACCAGTCAGGCTTCTTCACGGCGTCAAAACGTCCCTCTTCCTCTTCCGTTGTCGCCTGGCGTGAAGTAGTCTTGATTTATTAAAGACCGTTTACAAATATGAAGAGCCCCCAGAGCACACGGTCCACATGGAGCAGGTGCAGGCTGCGGGGTGCACCCCTGGCCCCCTGAGCCCCAGGAGCACGCAGTCCACACAGAGCAGCTGCAGGCTGAGGGGTGCACCCCTGTCCCCCGAGGCCCCAGAGTAGCAGTCTACACAGCAGGTGCAGGCTGCGGGTTGTACCCCAGGCCCCCCGAGCGGCCCAGGTGAGGCCTGGATGTGGCCAGCTGCTCCCTCATGGTGTCGTGTAACATGACCCCCGTGCTCTGTCATTGGAAGCAGATCTGAAAGTGTGCTGGGTCGCTGACCCCTGGCAAGGTGCTGTG